ATTCTTCACCTTCTGGAGCCTCGGTATCCTCAGTTAGTCATGAGGATCATGTATGACATTGTAAGGTCTTGGTGCTCAGTGGCTGGCACATAGGAAGGGCTCAGTCAGTGGTTGCTCAGCATTATTTTCAGAAGTGAGGTTGCCCTGTGATGTCCTTGGGGTGACCTCCACAGTCTCTGGGCACACAGTCTTGGTCATTGCTTGGCAAGGACTGCACTAGGAAAACGTTGTTGGCTACATCACTCTCAGGGCTGCTGTCTTGGGAAGTGGTGCGCCTCCTGGCGGGACGATCTCAGGTGCAGATGTAGCTGCTACAGTAGAAGTTTTGAACCTTAAGCTCCATGCCCTCCAGAGAGGCTTCAGAAATCTGTCCTCTCCCAAAATGGTATGCAAAACATGGTGTCTATGGGGACAGGGACCATGGTTTTCATCAGACTCTCAAAAGGGGCCACAACTAAAAGAATTAGGAACCTTTTATCTGGACATCAGCAAGTCAGGCATTAAGAGCCACTGTCGGAGGGCATGGCAGGTGGCATGGACCCCAGCCCTAGCCCTGGGTGTGACCTGCTGACCTCACGCCGTGCTTAGCTAGCTAGTACTGGCCGGTCAGAGACATCAGTGCCTCCCCTGGATACCCACTCTCCATAAGCCCAACAGAGAGTCAACCATGCCTCGGGTCTGGTGGGCCACCAGGTTCAGGGTATGAGAGAGACCCAGGCCCCAGCAGGCAGGATGGGAATCAGTGAACAAGACTCTCTGGGGACTGGCTCAGGACTGGGGACCCTGAGGTGGGGTGGTGATAGGTGAGGTGTAACATGTAAGGGCCTGGAAAGATAGGGGCAGAGGAAATGAGATAGGGTCCACTGTGCCAGCCTTGGGGGCCTCCTTCTTGTCCACTTGTCTCAGTGGGGCTGCCTGAGTGGGCTTGGTCAAAACAGTTAGAAATTTCTCTCTGAATAAGCTTCAGACTGTGGGTCATGGAGGTACAACTGGGGGTGTTCTCACCCTCTCTCTTCTCAGTTTTTCTTTCTTCGGTTCTTATTTATTTTCCCTATCTTATTTATATTTTTCTCATAAGCCACTCAAGTCACTTTGGGAAACAGTATAAATGGAAAGAAAGAAAAGCTATTCATACATAGAAAAGCTGCCTGGAGAAAGTGAGCTTTCAGTTGTGGGATGTTTTGTTTGTTTTCCTAATAGATATTGCAAGTAGATTATGTTCATTTAAAAAACTTATTTCATCACCCAAGCTGGAGTGCAGTAGCACAGTCACAGCTGACTGCATCCTGACCCTCGGGGCTCAGGTGATCCTCCCACCGCAGCCTCTTGAGTAGCCAGGACTACAGGTACACACTACCATGCCTGGCTAATGGGGTGTGTGTGTGTGTGTGTGTGTGTGTGTGTGTTATAGAAGGCGCTGTGTTGCTCAGGCTGCTCTCAAATTCCTGGGCTTGAGTAATCCTCCTGCCTCAGCCTCCCAAAGTGCTGAGATTGCAGACTGAGCCACTGCACTCGACCCATTAACTTAAATGTGGATGTTTTGTAGAAACAAAAAAAGAAGTGAAAATAATTGCCTGTAATAGCATTATAGAAACAACCACAGTTAGTATTTTTGTGTGTATTTTCTTCTATACGTGTAAGCTGTTTCTTACATATATAGATTAATACATGTTTTTTGTATTTATACTATAAATGGTATCCAGTTTTCTGGATTAATATATATAACATGGACAGTTTTTCTCTCGTACTAAAAACTCTTTATAAGCATTTAAAATATCTCAGTCCCCCATAATTAGACATTTAGAACCTCCCCTGATTTTTTATTTTTAATTTATTTTTAAATTTTTAAAAACTGAGATGGGGTCTTGCTCTAACACCCAGGCTGGACTGCAGTGGTGCAGTCTTGGCTCCTTGACTACACACTGATGCAACCTCCACGTCCCAGTTTCAAGCAGTCCTCTCGCCTCCGCCTCCAGAGTAGCTGGGGCTACAGGCATGCCCCACCACACCTGGCTCATTTTTGTAATTTTAGTAGAGATGGGGTTTCACCTTTTGGCCAGGTTGGTCTCAAACTCCTAACCTCAAGTGATCTGCCTGCCTCGACCTCCCAAAGTGCTGGGATTACAAGCATGAGCCACAGCACCCAGCCCCTCCCCTGAGTTTACATTATTATAAACAAAGCATCAACACAAATTTTTGTCCAGGGTTCTTTGCAAAGTTGAGATTATTTCTTTGAACAAGATTCGGAACAGGGCTTGGCTCCAGCCCAGAGCAGGCTGGGCCAGCAGTAGTGTTAGCGTGAGCATGAGTGTGAGTGTGCACTTGTGAGTATGGCAAGGTTCCATTTCTCATTTGCCCTGCAAGAGAGGGCAACTGAGGCAGGCCCACGAGGGAGCCAAGTGACTCTTTCTCTTAGCCTGTGGGTCTTGTTGAGGGGACAGGCGGAGAAAAGGCTTCCCAGTGATTCATCTATTGGGCGTGAAATCCCTCTGAACCTTTAGGCTGGCCAGGGCAAAGCCCTTCAGTCCTGGTGATCAAATATTCTCCTGTGTCAGGGCCACCTTTGGGCCCTCGGAGATGAGTGCACCTGATGAAGTGTTTTATGTCCTGTGAGGCGGGCCCACCAGCCATGAACAGCCCTCCACTCAGATCTGCTTTCTGACCTGCACATCAGTCCAGCTTGGCTGAGCTCAGTTCCAAGGCAGGCTGGGCTGGTTTTCTCCTCCTTAAGACTCATCAGTGAGGTCAGCCAGCGGGTAAGCTAAAGTTAACTTAGCTATTACTGCTTTTTTGTTAATGAGGGGAGGGCCAGTTGTGAAGAAGCCAAACCATTCAGAAAACTTGTACAGTACTTGGGATTTAATATGCCAGAAAAAATTCTGTGTTCAGGCAAAATAAAGCAGTTGACAGTGATTTAAGTCCTAACTGGACTCCCAAGGGTCCGTTGTGCTTCTCTGAGCTTTTATTTTATTATTTTTTTAAAAAAATATTTTTCTTGTGAAGTTATGAGTCTTGGAAGCTGTGTAAAGCATGGGCAACCTCACTGGACTCATCAGAATGGCAGGAGCCTTCTTTTGTGGTTGGAAGCTGGGCTGTAATTACACTTTGAGTGGGTGGAGGATGAGGCTTATGGGAAATTCTGTCACCGAAACCCTAGGGTTGGTGAGGGAGTGATGGCTGAATACCCATCCTACGGAACTACAGGGGTTGAGAGAAAAGGAGCAGGGATTAGCTTTTCTTGGACGACAGTTAATAGGAACAAACCAACTCCTTCTCAGAGATGAGATTCAAAAGCAGGGGCTGAATATCCTGGGTGTTCCTGAAACCAAGAACACTTGACTTGTGTCTTAAAATTCCATAGCCCACTAGCATGTTCACAGAGGCTGTTCAAAGTGACCTCCTTTGACAAAGAAGCAATGTTCCTGCAGGGTTGAAACCACTTGAATCAACTGTTGAAGTTGATGTACAAAAATGTTTAAAATGCTTTGAAGAAATGAGATGTGAGATGTTCCTGCTATAAAGTCGTCTGTGAACAAGTCAAAGTGAAAGTCTGGAAGCGAGATGCGCTTATAGGCCGAGAGATCTAAGAGAAAGGTTCTTTTCAGCGTGACCCATGTTTGCAACCTACCTATTGTGCACCATTGCAGTGCTTGGCTCGAGAGGATAGAGACCTGTAGACCTGGATTTCGTGCCTCGAGGAGTCTAGCTGGGGAAAGCCCTACTGTGGCCAGACCTAGTGCCAAGAGCAGTGAGGAAGGAGGAATAGATTCTGATTAGGGAGTGCATATAAAGCCCAAAGGAGATTTCCCAAAGGAGCATCATTTTAGCTGAACTTGAAGAGTTGGCCCACTGCAATGCTTAGAGATGTGGGAGAAGAGTCTGGAAGGCCAGGAGACTACCTAATGAAGGCACAGGGATGAATGTGGGTGGCCTTCTTCAGAGTGTGGCTGCTGAGGAGAAGAAACAGCAAGGGATGAGTAGGGATTGGTGGCTGTTGGCAGGTTGTGGAGGCTTTGATAGGAGTTTGGACTTGATTCTATAGCTATTAGGGACTCATGGAAGGTTTTTGAGTAGGGAAGTAACTTGCAAATATCGATTAATTTTTAAAATAGAAAACAAACATATAAATACATGCTCATTGAAAGACATTTCAGCTATATTAAAGGCAATGAAGCAGAAGATGAAAATGCTCCCCTTCCCAGAGGTAACCACTGCTTCCTTTCATGTTATTTCATCCACCTGTATCTATGGGATCAGCACACAAAAGTTGTTGGAAACAGATGCTCAGTGCTGCAAAGAAAAATTAGCACTGAGACAAAGAATCTCCTAGCAAGGCAATTTTTACTTCCTGCAGGATGGATACCTTGCCAGACGACATCTTGCTATGAGAGTACAGCAAACAAAGGAAAAGCAGACATATTTATCCTTTACACATTTGGGGTTGTCCTTACTGCTGTGTCTGATCTCCATTGGTTGGAGCCAGACCTCACAATCTAAACTAAAACCTGATTGGCTAATAACTTAAAACTTTTCTAAACAGGTAAAAAGCAATGGAGAACAAAAAGAAAGTGCAAATAAGGAAGGGGCATAGGCTGCAAGCTGGGACATGCCTGCGAGCACGTGCAGCACAGATATGTTGGTTAAAGTACAAGGACATAGAATGTACTATGTGCCTATAAGCATGTCTAACAGCTACATAGGATAGGGCTTAACAAGGAGTTATTAGCAAAAAGCAAGAAGGCTTTGAAGAAAGTCTTATTAAACAAACTATTATTTATAACACTTATGAAACTTTAAAGCGGAACTTTTCTACTTCCCACAAAAGTCAACCCTAGAAGTGAGAGGGAGATAGTTCTGCAGACCTTCTCTGTCTCTGTGCCATGTACATGCCCCTACCTTTCCAATATTTAAAGTGATATATGAAATAGAACTGTAATCTAGGAAAATGTGTGCTATGTCTTCTCATTGGGCTTATGTTGCTCTCCATTACATTATTTCAGAACATGGTTTTATTGGATATTCACCCGAACTGCTACAGAACAACTCGCTGCCTGATTACAGCCCAGGGGAGTCTTTTTTCACTGTCTTTGGGGTTTTCTTCCCAGCGGCTACAGGTATTGTAATCTGCATTGTTTTTTACTCTCAAACTAGGGGTGTAAGTACTTGGTTCCCAAAATTCACCATCATAATTGGCCCACATGTGCTCTTGCTGTGTATATCCAACTTTAGATGTGGGCTTAGCTTCGACTAAAATTGTGTTATTTTATGTATGTATGTATGTATTTTGTAGAGACAGGGTCTCACTATGTTGCTGGTCTCAAACCCTTGGCCTCAAACATTAAAATCTATAGTTTTAACAGAGAATTTACTGAAGGCCCTCAGTATGATTTAATCCTCCTCACTCCTTACATGTTGACACCTCTTGCTCATAGAAGGGACACATATGTCGTAGGGCCGAACAGGACAGATTCCGCAGCAGGATAAGCTGTTCTTTTCACAAGTGGAATAAGTACATGCCTGGTATAGAAACTTCCCTTCTCCCTCTCCCTGCCAGTGCATCTTCTCCCAGAGGGCAGAGAAATGCTATTGTCTTGTCTTGTCTTGTTATATCAGGTATGAGCCAAGCCAGTATCCCAGAGCTGAGGAATGAATCTCCTTACCCTCCCTTCCCAAAGTTCCTGCTCTATGGTGACTGTAGAGAGCCTCCCAAAGCCAAGGTCCCTGTAGGAATCATGCCCCATGCTTGGGTCTCTGGCCTGGAAGGCAATAAGCTAACATGTTGACCAGATGATCCATAAAAAATAACATTTGCTAGTGACTGGGCTTGTCCCCAGGGAACAGACTTTTAATGAAGAGAGAAAAGCAGTTCACTCTGGATCAACAGTGTTGATGGCCTGCAGTGTATCTGCCTTGTCTCTCTCCCCTTTTCCCTCTGCCCTCCTATATGTGGCCATTTCCTTACTTGTTGTCCCCACTCCAAATGGGATAGGGACAGAAAAAGGAGAGGCCACTAGAATGTCTAAGATTGAGAAGATTGTCCATACAAGTGTTAGCAAGGATGTGGAGACACTGGAACCCTCGTGCACTGCTGAAGGGAACGTAAAATGGTACAATGACTTTGGAAAAAAGTTTAGCAGTTTCTTAAAAATTACATCCAGCTATTCTACATCTAGTTAACTAGGATCAAAGGTATGTGTTCATATGAATATTTGTACATTAATATTCAAAGAAGCTTAAATTGTAATAGTCTCAAATTAGAAATAGCTTGAATGTTCATCAACAGGTGAGTGTATAAACAAACTATGGTGTAGCCACACAAAAGAAAACCACTCAGCAATAAAAAAGAATTAACAGACCCGGTGTGGGATCACGCCTGTAATACTAGCACTTTGGGAGGCCAAGGCAGGTGGATCATCTGAGGTCAGGAGCTCGAGACCAGCCTGGCCAAAATGGCAAAACCCCATCTCTACTAAAAATACAAAAAAAATAGCCAGATGTAGTAGTGTGCACCTGTAATCCCAGCTACTCAGGAGACTGAAGCAGAAGAATCACTTGGAGCTGGGAGGCAGAGGTTGCAGTGGGCCGATATTGCACTACTGCACTCCAGCCTGGGAGACAGAGCAAGACTCTGTCTCAAAAAAAAAAAAAAAAAAAACTTAGCTAGATATGGTGGTGTGCACCTGTAGTTCCAGCTACTTGGGGTGGGTGGTGGGTGGTGGGAGGACTGCTTGAGTCTGCGAGGTCAACGCTGCAGTGATCCTTGTCATGCCATTGCACTCCAGCCTCAGTGACAGAGTGAAACCCTGTCTCAAAAAGAAATTATATATATATAAATGTGTGTGTGTGTGCACACGTGTGTGTATTCCTGATTACAGTGATGGTTTTATGGGTATATTCATATATTAAATCTTTTCAAGTTGTTACATTTTAAACATGTATAGCTTATAGTATGTTAGTTATACCTCAGCAAAGCTGTTAAAATGAAAAAAAAAAAAAACCGATAACTTTAATCATCTTTAGTTGCTTTTCCTCAATCCCATTTCTCCTTATAGCAATAGCCTTTCCCTCTCCTCTTCACAGCCAAACATAACTGGCTCCCCATCTCCATTCTTTTATCCCCTGCTCAACTCTCCCAGTCTCTCCTTTGGGAATTGCAAGTCTGTCTCTCCAATGACATGGCTCTTTCACCAGTGACTTCCTTGTTACTAAATACAGTGCGCAGTTTTAGTTTCTCACTTTATTTCACCTCTCAGCAGCAACCCACTTCCCCTTGCATTTCTCTTGCCTTCCACCATGCAGCCTTCTCAGCTCCCTCCTACTCTGACTTGCCTTTATAGGTACATCCCCTCGGCCTGCCCGTCCAGTGTTGGGGATCTTCAGGCTATTCTTAGGCCCTTGCACCTCTTTCTCAACTATTTTCCTTGGAGTCTCAGCCATGCTCATTGTTGAATAACCACCCTCAAAGCTGATGACTCCAAAGTTTACACTTTCAGCGGCAACTTCTCCTCCAAGCTTCACATCATACATTCAGGTGCCTATGTGACATCTTCTCTTGGGTATCTTGGACTGAACAAGTTTGAACCAAACCCATCTCACCAACCCCTCAACTCATCCTCCTCTGCTACTCCTGGTGTCAGTAAGTGGCACCTCTACCCAGCCAATTGCTTATGCCAGTGATCGGACCTCCCTCTTTCTTTCCAGTGCCCTCTAAGTCTTGTCAATTTTACCTCCTAAGAGTTGCTAGGTTCTCTACCACCTGACAACTCTGGTCCCACCTTCATCTATCACTTGTATCAGTGCGTCAGCCTCCTGCTTGACTTTTCTTGAGGCCTGGCCATGGAACTAGGGCTTGGAAGTGACAGGTCAAACCCTGGTCCACAAATCCAGAATTTGCTAGAAATAGTGTGTTGCTTTCATTTTTATAAAACAAAAAGATTCAGTCTCTGACTTTAAGCCTTCATTCTCCCATGATGGCTTAAAAGTGACATCAGTAATTCAGGATGCCTCTACCTGCTCCTGCCATGCTGTGGACTGTTCCAGGGGCTTAGGGATTTTTACAGAACCCAGGTATGTTCGGGGGGCTCTGCAGTTCCTCCTCAGTAAACAGAACCCATTGTCCTGTCCACAGGGCCTTTCAGGTTTGTGTTGCCTCTGAGCCACATTCAAAGACCAGAAATCTGCTAAGATTGGGAACCCTATACTTAGGGTCTATGTACTCCCCAAACCTTTCCTTCTGGCGGGCCTTACCGGTCTTCCAGGGATTGGGGGGGTCCCAGGTCCTCATTTCCTCAGAACCTGTGAACAGCCTCTCTCTCTTTCTGCCCCTAACTCCAGGACCAATCTTTTGTCAAATATGGGGGACATTCCTCTCCAGGGCCACCTATGCATTCACACTGGGCTGGGCATGACGGTGGCTCACACCTGCAATCCCAGCACTTCAGGAGGACGAGGCAGGCAGATTACTTGAGCCCAGGAGTTCAAGACCAGCCTGGCCAACATAGTGAAAACCCATCTCTACTAAAAATACAAAAATTAGCTGTGCATCCTGGGACATACCTGTCACCCCAGCTACTCAGGAGGCTGAGGCAGGAAAATCACTTGAACCTGGAAGGCAGAGGTTGCAGTGAGCCAAGATCATGCCCCTGCACTCCAGCCTGGATGACAGAGCAAAATTCTGTCTCAAAAAAAAAAAAAAAATTCTTAATAATTTTTGATTCTGCATTTGTATTTTTATGTGGCCCCACAAACTGTGTGATAGTTTTTGTCCTTGTCCCCCCATGTTTTCCCCAGACATTCTACTGTTGCTTTTCTATTTCCCTCCAAAATCTTCTAAGGACCTTGTTTTTTGACAAACAGAAGTCAAAACAGTGCACAGGCAAATTCTGCTTCCTCTCTGCCTCCTGTCTCCCCCAAGGCAAGAGAATATAGGTCAGCTTCCTCTTGAATAGACAGAAAAGGAAAGGGGAAAAACAGAGGAAATTAAAATAAAGTTAACATCTGAAAATGTTTCCCAGCCTTTCTCCTCTCTCCTTCCACACACAAATTGAAAACCATCTGAGGCCAGGTGTGGTGGCTCATGCCTATAATCCCAGCACTTTGGGAGGCCAAGGTGGGCAGATCACAAGGTTAGGAGATCGAGACCATCCTGGCTGATACGGTAAAACCCCATCTCTACTAAAAATACAAAAAGTTAGCTGGGCGTGATGGCACATGCCTGTAGTCCCAGCTACTTGGGAGACTGAGGCCGGAGAATTGCTTGAACCTGGGAGGCAGAGGTTGCAATGAGCCAAGATCACACCACTGTACTCCAGCCTGGGTGACAGAGGGAGACTCCATCATGGAAAAATAAATAAACAAATAAAGTAAAAAAAATAAAATAAAACCATCTGAGCATTCCCTGAGGCCTGGCAGTGTCCTTACTGAGTGAAGACCCCTGGGCCGAGATGCCAGATTAGCAGTTACCCTAGAGGCAGGGGCAGAAGGTTTCTTTGCCTGGTCGCACTGCACACAGAATGTCCCAGGTGTCCTCAGGTACACCAGGGAGTTGTCTTGGCGATGTGGACCTGATGTGCCCCTCCACCCTGCTCCCATGGCTGGCTTTCCTAAGAGAGAGGATGCCTGGTGTGAGTGGGGGCAGGGGGTGGTGAGTCTCCCCTCTGGCTTCTTCCTCCAAGCAGGAGTTAGCAGCAGCCTGAGGCTTGAAGGTGCCACCCAGTAGCCCAGAGTTTGAGCTAGATTAACATGTGATATCAGCTAGTCCAACTCTCAAGCTTTTGTCTTTTTAATCCATATTCCACCTCCCCCCACCTTTTTTTTTTAAAGACAAAAATCTCTCTGTTACACAGGCTGGAGTGCGATGGTATGATCTCGGCCCACTGCAACCTCTGTCTCTTGGGTTCAAGCGATTCTTGTGCCTCAGCTTCCTGAGTAGCTGGGATTACAAGAGCATGGCACTACACCAGGCTAATTTTTGTATTTTTGTAGAGATGAAGTTTCGCCAAGTTGGTCAGGCTGGTCCTGACCTCAAGTGATCCACCCACCTCAGCCTCCTGTCTCCCAAAGTGCTGGGATTACAGGCATGAGCCACCATGCCTGGCCTAGATTCCCTTTTGAT